TTCCCGTTCCATGTCCCGGTGTAACGGAGACCCCCCACTCCCTCCCGGTCCCCCCCACTCCCCCGGGGGCCTGGGCTGGATAAGGCGCCATCGGCCGCCCCCGCGCCGCCCTCCGCCCCTCACCTTGGCCCTCATGGCGATGCGGCGGCGCCGCGGTCAGTCCCGGCGGGCGGGCGGCGGCGGGAGCGGCGGATGGAGCCGGATGGAGGCGGCGGCGGCTCCAGAAGATGGCGGCACCAGGAGCCGAGAGGCCGCGGCCCTCCGCCGGGGCCTATTTATAGGGTAGCGCCCGTTGCCCCGCCCCTTCCGGGGCGCGTGGTATGATGGGAGATGTAGTCCCGCCTTCCCGAAGCACCATGGGAGTTGTAGTCCGCCCGCCCGCCGCCATTTTGCGCAGCCCCGGGCCCGCTGAGTGCCTCCCCCCGGGCGAGTTTATTCGGAAAAGAAGAAAAATCAGACATTTCCAGACCTGTTCGTGGGAGTTTCCACTTGTCAATTTTGTTTTTAAACTGGATATTTTGTTTCTTGCATCAAGAGTTACAGTTGGTTTTGTTATTTAGAGCAATAAAGCTCCAGCGAGGCCCAGCAAGGGGCCTGGCAGTAGGGTTCTCCCCGCCCTTCCCCCCGCAGAGGGCAGAATTGGGCTTAAAAAACCCCAAAATGGGCAACGGGGATTTCTCACATCCCTCACAGTTAAGGCCTCGGCTCCTGTGTCCGTCCCGTGTCCATCCTGCCCTCCAGAGTTCCAAACCAGCAGAGAGAGGGACAAATTCAAGGAAGAAAGTCATCTAGCACATTGTTTATTCTCTTTTATTGACTTTAGTCATATTTTCGGCCAGGAAGCCCCGGGGCCCGCCGCGATGGCTGGGGGCGACTTCAGCAGCCGAGAGGTTTTCCCAGATTTAGAAGGCAAAGATTTTATCCAAAATTTAAAAAGGCAAAGATTTTTTTTTTCACAAATTTAAAGGCAAAGAAGTTTTTCCCATATTCAGCTGGAGCAGGTGAATTCCCAGAATGCCGGTCAGGGGAACAAGGAAAAAACCTCACAACCTCAACTGGCTTTTTTCTTCTTTTTTTCTTTTTTTTTTTTTAAAAGCATCACTACAAAAGTAGGAGCCTCCCCGGCCGGACTCTGGCCCGAGGCTGATGGCTCCTGGGGTCTTTCAGGGAGCAGAACGTGCTCCCAGGCCATGGAAACGGGGAGAACAAACCCCCCCGGAGAGAAAACCTCCCCCCAAACACCAGGGATTCACCCCAAGCTGGGGAGGGGGCAGCTCACGGGGCTGGGGGGGCACCTCGGACAGTCAGTTTTACAAACGAGCTCGCCACAGCGGCGTGTTAAAAAATAGAGCGTTTTATACGTAAATCAAGGCAAGAGACAGAACAGAGTCGACGGGACAGTCTACAGTTTCACAGGGGACATAGAATTTTATATTTTCGGTTTGATTTTTTTTTTCTTTTTCCCAATTATAAATGTACAATTCTAGAGGCTAAACGAGAAGAGCGAGGAATCCTGGGGTCGCCTTCTGCCGTCCACGCGTACCAGGTCGCCAGACACGGGGCACTTTTTTTTTCTGGGGTGTAATCAGCTGTTCCGATGGGTTTGGTTTTGTTTCTTTTTTCCTCCAAGAAAAAAATCTGTTAAGGGAGAAATTTAAAAAAAAAAAAAAAAACACCACAAAAGAAAAAAGGGAGGAGGAAGCAGAAAGCAGGCAGCGCTGCGCTCCCTTGCTGGGCCAGGTCGATCACCTCCTCACCGAGGCCGGGGAGTAGAAAAGGTTAAAGAGTGGGGATAAACTGGGCTTTTACTCCTCATTTTATTTTTTTTTTTCTGCTTTCGTTTTACGTCGTCTGAGGTGGCCAAGAGACCCCCCCACCTCGCTGGGTGCAGCCAGTTGGAATTCCAGGCTGTTGGTGTTTGGTCGGAGCAGACAAACAGCACTGGGTTGGTTTGTTTCTGGTTTGTTTTGTTGGTTTTTTGCTTTTTTTTAAGGGTGGGGGAAAAAAAAAGGGGCACGTGTGTGTGTGTGTGTGAATCGGGCGCTACGTGGAGGGAGAGGGAGCCGCTCAGTCTCCGGCTTCGTTCTCTTCCGCCGTCTCCCCCGTGGTGGCGTTTTCGGCGTTCTTGGAGGCCTGTGGAGAGAAAAAAACCACGGTGGGGAGGGTCGTTTGGGACCACGAAATGAAAAGAGAAGGGAAAAGGGAGAGGAGCCTCCTTCCCTGAGGCAGGGCAGCACCAGGATGTTGGACCCAAAGCAGGACCCGGGTATTTTTTTGGTGATTCCAAGAGACTATGCCGCTAAATCCCCACCAAACTTGGCCAAATTACCTTCTTTTTCTTCTTTTTCTGGGTCTTCCGGCTGGCAGAGCTCTGTAGAAGGGCCTGAAGAGAGGAAGGAAATGTTAGGAGGCAGAAAATCAATGCCTTTTTTTGACAGCAGATGCAGGGAAAAGCCTTTGAAGCTGACTGAGCACTGCTGAGGGGACAGCGGGGAGTCCCGAGGGGGCAGAGATGGATTGGGGTGCCCCGGGCTCACCCCGTGGGGTACGAGGCCTCAAAACCAGCTGGAGAGAGTTCTCAGCCCCTCCTGGGAAGGACTGGGCACCATCAAGCCACCAGAGCTGGTGCCCGACGCAGGAAATCGAGGCCTAAACTGGCTTTTAAGCGAATCTTTCCCTTTCCGAGCTCAGGCTTCGGCCCCTTCCCTGTTGATTTTTCTGGATTTTCCTTCCTGCCTTCACCCAAGGGCGACCCCCCGCTACGTGCCACATCTCTTGACTGTTATTTTTAAAACCAACCTTCAGTTCTCCATCTTGCACATCGAACTCGGATTTGTAGAGCTCGGGCTCGAAGGGGCCGCTGGTTATCCTCATGGGGCCGTTGGGCATTAAAAGCACTGTGAATTTGAACTGTGCGACGAACTCCCCTGCAGAAAGAAAGGCAGAAACAGGGTGGGGTGTGTGTCAATGGCACCACAGACCCAGCCCCCTGCACATCTCGGCAGATGTTTCCATTCTTGAGCCATTTCTACGCTCTCACTGTTAAAAAACATCTTAAACTTGTCCCCCCGTTCAGGGCAAAACAATTTCTTCGGCGCCACCGCCACCGATCCTCCCTCCTGCCCAGGAAATCACTCCACAGAAAAAAAAAAAAGAAAAAAAGTCATCTCAAGGCTGGAACGACTCCAGAATGAGATTCCTGAAGCCAACGGGCAGCCAGTTTCCTGGAGGATTAAATCCCAGGGCCCTCCAAGTGCATCCCTGGTATTTGCGGAGCGGCTCCGGAAGCCACCGGCCGTTGTTTGCCCACCCTCCCACCCGCAGAACTCACCTTCCTTCTCGTAGAGGACGTTGAAAGGCTGGAGCAGCTCGTGTTTGGCGCATTCCACCACCCCCATCCTGGCCTTCTTCTCGTCCTCGAATGCCCTGCGGAGGAGACGGAGCCACACCGGGGCTCAGGACCTTTCCTAGATCCAGATCCCACCCCACCAGGCTCAGCATTGAGACTCAATTCCTTCGTGTCCCCCCCCTGACAATGCAGACAGCCAGAGTGGGCAACCACCGGGTGAGCTGTGACCTCCAGAGAGCAGGAAAGGCAAGTGGATTTAAGACCCCATCGAGTGAAGGTGGTTTCCTCAATTTAAGAGTACACAACACGGCTGGGATGCGCCTCGCCTCCACACGCCGCCCCCCCCCACGCTGCTTCCACCCTGCTCTGGGTTATTTTAAACCCAATTTCCACCCCCCCAACCCGCCCCCACCTGCTGCCGGGGGCTCGGGAGACTCTCACATCCTCAGGATTCCTGCTTAATCCCGGAACATCCTTCCTACACCCACTCCCGGGGGCTCAAATACAGCAAACCCCACGTGCACCAGGAGGGGAAAGGGAGTCGGGTTTTGCCGTCGGAAGGTCTGTAACCACAGGAAAAGCCCCAAATGAGAGTAAAATACCTGAGAGTAAATGGCATAGTGTCGAAGCGCCTCTCCACCTCGCTGAAAAAGGCACGGGAGGTTTTCATCTTCAAGCCGTACTGTTTGGAGGGGTCCCTTTTGTAAATGGTAGTTCTCTGGCCGGCGTCCTTCGCCTGGGAAGGCAGAGAGAGCCTCAGTCACAACTGCCCCCACCCCCAGCACCCCAAAAAGGTGCACCTCGACTTTTGGGATAGAGAACTGGCACCCACAAGGACGCCTGGAGACGATGACCATCCCGAAACGTAGCCCCTTTGGTGACCAGACTCACCTTTCCCTCTCCGCTGCTGACGAGAACATCGACAGCGTAAACTTCATGGACCTCGAACTCTGCTTTTTCGTGGTCCTTCCTGCATGAAGAAAAAAAAAAAAGCTTGGTGAATCAAAGAATGGTAAATAGAGAAGACAAAACCTCCCACACGGCCAGGGTCCCTCTGAAAGCCTCCCTGGGCTCAGGCAGAGGAGTCTGTGAGCACGAAGGAGCTCCAGAGAGCAAGTCCCTGAGCAGAAGTGGCAGCAGAACTGGTCAGTGATGGGCTGGCAGAGAAAACCAGTGACAACCAGCTCCATCCCCAGTAAGGGCTGGGAGGTCTCTTGGACATTCAGCACCAGCTCTTTGAGCTCGTGGGCACCTCCCAGGCAGGCCAGGAGCCCCCACACCTGAGGACTTACAGGCCAAGAGCTGGATTTAAAGCCTCTGAGCAATAAATATTCCTCAGGAGACCCAACCCCGAGGGATCTCCGAGGGAGAGGAGCTGCCAGAACAGAAAGGAACGAAAGATCCAGCTCGTTAGTTCAAAACCATCCCGAGATGCTGCTGACAGCCATCGCCGTCCCCTGGGCTCCTGGCAGCCTCTGCCAGAAACACCGACGGGTCCTGGCACCGCTCCTGCTGAACCTGCAGCCACCGCCACGACCAGCAACAGTTGGGCATTTTGCTGGCAGCTCCAGCAGCCTCCGTGGAGGAAACTGGCCAGAAACCAAGAACGCTGGTCGGTGCCAGCGAGGAGCCTCAGATCAGAGACACCCAAGCCTTTCCTTCAGACAGAGCCAGGCTTCACGGGGCTTCCACGGACAGGAGACGGGGGCTAACGAGCTGTTAATTTGCCATCTGGGGTCAGACTTCAAGAAAGAGACCATCCGGGGAGCAGCCTGTACCCCGGGGAGATTAAACACCCGATACCCCCACCAGAAACTGGGGGTGACTGTTCCTGGATCTTGTCACCCCCCTCCCAACAGCAGCCCCCTACCCCCCAAAAAGGCGATGCTCACTTTTGCTGGTCTGTGGGATTCTGGATAATTGTTTTCTCTCCATCGATCACGTGCTGTTTCAGCTGGTGCGACAGCATCCCTGCGCGAGAAGAGCCTGTTTTAGCACCCAACCAGCCACACCAGGACTCGTGCAATTAACTTTTGGGGGGACACAGCCCTTCGTTAGGGCGAGCAATAAAGCAAACTGTCTTCAGTGCTGGAAGTCCCCTCACTCGTGAGCCCCCCAAAGCCCACCCTGACCTCAGCAAGGCTTCCTCGCCAGCGAGGAGGAGCTGGGAGCCTCCACGTGCTGCCACGTCTCCATCATGGAACCATAAAATCATCTGGGCTGGGACCACTGAGTCTCCAACCATCAACCCACCACTGCCCCACGTCCCTCAGCACCACGTCTGCTTGGCTTTGAAATCCTCTCCAGGGATGGAGACTCCACCACTGCCCTGGGCAGCCTCTTCCAAGGCTCCATAACCCTTTCAGTGTGAATTTTTTCCCCAATATCCTTCCTAAACCTCCCCAGCACAACTTGAGGCCGTTTCCTCTTGTCCCATCAACTGTTTCTTGGGAGAAGAGACTGACCCCCCCCGGCTACACCCTCATTTCAGGGAGTTGTAGAGAGAGATGAGGTCTCCCCTCAGCCCCCTTTTTCTCCAGGCTGAACACCCCCAGCTCCCTCAGTCGCTCCTCACAAGTTCTCCAGCCCCCTCACCCAGCTCCGTTGCCCTTCTCTGGACACCCTCCAGCCCCTCAGTGTCTCTTGACACGGGGTGCACTCGTGGGCTGTGAGGGGGCAGAGGGGGACGCACAGGCATATAAAGATGCCAAATGTCAAATTAATGGAAAATTTGGGTCCTTCCACCACTACAGCCCTCCAAGGGTGTTCTGGGGGGGGGGGGTTTGCTTTCCTTTTCCTGTCTGTCCTACACTTCACCTCCAAACGGCAGCCTGGGAGGAGGCACTCGTGGCCATTCCCATTCCCCAGGCCACCAGCCCAGCCAGGACAGTGGCCCATGGTCCCTCAGGAAGGGACAGCAGAGCCCTGGCCACCAGCAGCTCCCTTTGTTTGCATCAGCTGGGACCTTACGCTGCTTCTGGTGCCCGGAGAATCACAGCCCTTGGCTGTTTCCAAAACAGTGGCCGCTTTGGCTCCATCCACGGCGCGAGCGGCCGCCTCCTCCCCGCAGCCGATGCCCCAGCTTTTCCCCAATCCCACAAAACCCGGCCCACGTTCCAAGGTCGGGCAAAGAGACCGAGCTTTACGGGGTGTATATCAGGAAATTTTAACTCATAATGGAATAATGGACCCATTTCATCGCGGCCGAAAGGACCGTTTGAGGGTGATGTCACCGAGTGGGAGGAAAGCGCCGGCGGGTGCCAAGCGTCGGGCACGACGTCGAGCTCCTGCCACCTCCCAGAGGAGCAGCCCCTGCTCTCACTTCTCCCAAAAACTGCCCCAGAGCCTTCCCCCCCGGCCCGTTCTCAACCCCCCTGCGAAGAATCAGCTGGGAGCTGGAAGGAAATGATGGCCCCTGCACTTTTTGGGGCTGTTTGCCCCTGGAAAGATACAAACCAGCTCCCTTGTGGATTTGCTAACGGGGTTTGAACTCCCCAACTTGCCCAGGCAGGAAGCCCACCAGGCCACCCACCAGCCCTGGGAGCCCACATCTATTATTCCAAGATTAACCCATCCCTAATCATCCAAAATAACAGAGGAAGAAGAATCTAGAGAGTTTTGAAAGGTTTTTGTTTCTTTTTTTTTTTTTTTTTTAAGCAAAGGCTGCCAGGACTCAGGGTCAGAATTTGGCCAGAATTTGGAGGGGGCAGCTGAGGGTCTGCCCCCCCTCCTTACCTTCGATGGGCGTGCAGTGAAACGAGTGGGCGATTTTGTTCCAGGCGTCTGTCACTTGTGTGTTCTGGATAAAGAGCACATGGGGAACACGTTAAGGCCACAAAATTCAAGCCACGAGCACGACAGTCGCGTTAACTCACCAGTTTTTCTGTCAGAAACCAGGGTTTCTAACCCACTGGGGCTCTGACACCCCCCCAAAAAAAAAGGAGAAACAGTGTCAGGCTTCTGTTTTTAACCCTGCACCGACAGAAATGAACAGGGAAGGGAGAAGCCCCCCCTCTCCGGGGATGGCAGCGACGGGAGCGCGTCTGGAATAGTAACGCCGAAGGAGATCGCCCACGGCTGCCGCGGCGCCCCAGCAGGGAGAGGAGCAAGTGGGAGATTTAAGGGAGCCCTGGCTGGGGAATTCATAGAGTCATAGAATTGCCCAGGCTGGAAGGGACCTCCAAAGGGCATCTCGTCCCACCCCCCCGCAGTCAGCAGGGACACCCCCAACTAGACCAGGTTGCCCCATGGAGCCTCCCCTTGAATATCTCCAGGGAAGGGGCCTCAACCACCTCCCTGGGCAACCTGTCCCAGTGATCCACCACCCTCCCAGTGAAGAACCCTCTCCTCATCTCCAGTCTCAAGCTGTTCCCCTCCAGCTTGAAGCCATTGCCCCTCGTCCTGTCACTGCAGCCCTTTCTAAACAGGCTCTCCCCAGCCTTCCTGTAGCCCCCCCTCAGGTACTGGAAGGCTGCTATTAGGTCTCCCCGGAGCCTCCTCTTCTCCAGGCTGAACAACCCCAGCTCCCTCAGCCTGTCCTCGGAGCAGAGGTGCTCCATCCCTCTCATCATCCTCGTGGCCCTCCTCTGGACCCTCTCCATCAGGTCCATGTCCTTCTTCTATTGAGGGCTCCAGCCCTGCACACAAGACTCCAGGTGAGGTCTCACCAGAGCAGAGCAAAGTGGCAGAATCCCCTCTCTGGACCTGCTGGCAACGCAGCTTTTGATGCAGCCCAGGATGGGATTGGCCTTCTGGGCTGTGAGTGCCCACTGCCTGCTCATGTCCAGCTTCTCCTCCACCAGCACCCCCAAGTCCCTTTCCTCAGGGCTCCCGGGAGAGGTCACACACTTGGATTTTTGGGCAGGCAGGTCTGTACCCCAGCTCCTCACCCCAGCACCCACCTGGTTTCCTGGCTTTACCAAGCGCAGCGCGGCTTCGGCGCAGAGATGAGCCGCCTTGATGACATCGGCTTTACGGCCCGACACGGGGTTTTCCTGGAAGGAGAGAAAAAGAAAGGCTTCTTCAGGTCTGTTCCCTCTTTATTAGCACCAACGCTGCTCCTGAGCGTCTGGAGATGGGGTTTCTCCATCTAAGGTTCCCCCGCGCGACAGGGAAATGGAGCTCAGGGGGGGCTTCCAGCTCCACGGCTCCATCGTTAAGTCTCTCCTTCATTAAAAGAGCAGATGAGTATCAGCCACAACCCAATCAGTTCTGTCTCGAGTTCCAACAGAGACACCCTCGTACGAGCACATCACTGTCAAAGCCTCAAGACAGAACAAGACTCCCCCGTTGTCAGAAAAGATTTCAATACACTTCAAAAGACACTTTTTCTTTTTTTTTTGGTCTTCTCCCCACCAAGTCGCTCAGACGCAGCCACTGGAGGAAAAGGGATCCCAAGACCCACATCATCATCCTCCTCCCAAGGCTACAGCTAAAAAATCCCTTATTTGATGACTTTACACACACAACACTAACTCCCAGTGCAGGAGGGTGGCTCAGTGTCACCACCCAAATACCGGAGCAAACCCCGAGCCAGGAGAGTCCATGCAGGCAGGAAAAGTGGGCACAAAGGGCTAGTTTTTGGGGTAACCCCTGAGCTCAGTTTGCAAAGGCGAAGGCAGCAACTCCCCGTGCTTCGGCCAGTAGAGGGGGCAGGAAAACCAGTCTCCCCAGTTTGCCCCACATGGAAATGTCTCTCCGCAGCGCCACTCACACCTGGATTGTCCCAAATGATGTGTAACCTTCCAAAAACCACCCATGTCGAAAGAGTGGAACACTCAACCCTGGTTTGCCAGGGGACAGGAGGGTCATTTTTAGGAAGGGGAGGGTTCTTGCCCCATCACTGTGGTGACACCAGACCCGTGGTGCCTTTGCCAGAGGGAGCAGACACGGCTCCGAGGTTCTGCCGCCGCTTTTGGCATCAGAGGGGGCCCCAAAATCAGCTTTTTAATCTCCCCTTCTCTGAGAAGAGACACGGCTCCCTCACACACCCACCTTGGAGGCGTCTATGACAAAGCTGTGTGCTACATTCGCTATGAAGCCGTCGACGTGGACTCCCAAGTCACTGCAAAACACACACAGAGAGTTAATTACAAGGAGGGGAAAAATTAGCCACGCCGAGGAAGCATTTAACCCACCGAGCAGGGTTAGAGAGCAAAGCCCCAGGTGCCACGAAGCGTAACACAATCCTTAAAAACAACAAGAATAACCCAAGCGCTTACATTTTGACCAAGTCTCCTTCTTTGAGGATGTAGTCCTGGTCACTCTTCAGGGGGGAGAAGTGACAGACGCAGTTATTTACTGATATACTCGTCGGGAAGGCGATACCTACACAGGGAAATAAAAAATAAACATTCCATGAAACCTCACAGCCTGACGGCCAGGCTCAGGGTCTCGCTTTGTCAACTGCTGGAAAATGCCCCATTACACAAGTTTTTGACCAAAGAGTCAGGAGGAACACAAGGCTGCTCCCACACTGCTCTCCTCCTGCCCAGGAAATGCATCCCAGGAGGGGAGAAAACCCACAAAGGGACCCCAAATCTCCAGAAGAGGAATTGGGGAGCTCTGGGTGACGCCGAGTGTCACGCTGTGTCCATGGCAAGGAGACCCAGTGGTCTGTTGGAACAGGAGTTACTGTGGACAATAACATGGATGATGGGGTGCAATGAAACAGGGAGGGGAGACTCATCGGTGGCGCTTACAAGCAGGGCAGGCAGGAGGATTTGGGTTAAAATTGGCTTTTTGGGAACAGCAAACTATTTTTTACGTTCATTAGCACAGAGCAGCGCTTTCTGTGGCTCTCGCCCACTCACACCAGCAGGACCCCGAGGCTCTTTGGGAGAAGGCCTCACCTTTTTTCATTTCTTTCTCCTTCTTGAAAATCTTGCCAGTCTCTTCCATGATCATGGCGTCTCCCTTCTCGCAGAGGCAGAGAACCGAGGCTCCGGAGTTCGCCGCTTCCACCACGGCACGCAGGACCCCTGAATTCAAACACAAGACAGGGAGCCCCTTGGAGCACACGAAGGATAAACAGCCTTAAATCTCACACCTCCAGCACCGAGGAGGAGAGATCTGTTTGTTTGCCAAGAGGGAGCAAGACTCTGGACTCGGCCCTTCACCAAAAGGAGCGTGGACAGGCAGAACCTTCTCAATGCCTACAAGTATCTCAAGGGAGGGTTGAAGGAGGAGGGAGCCAGACTCTTTTCAGTGGTTCCCAGTGAGAGGACGAGGGGCAACGGGCACAAGTTGGACCAGAAGAGGTTCCACTCAAATCTGAGGAGAAACTTCTTCACGGTGAGGGTGGCAGAGCCCTGGCAGAGGCTGCCCAGGGAGGGTGTGGAGTCCCCTTCCTTGGAGATTTTCAAGACCCGCCTGGATGCTCCTGAGTAACGTGCTCTGACAAGCTCTGGGCAATCCTGCTTCAGCAGGGGAGTTGGACTAGATGGTCTCTATGGTCCCTTCCAACTCTAAAAAATTCAGTGAAACCCCACTTTAATTCTTATTTTGGTTTTGAGAACGTTTTCACAGAGAACGGGAGCAAACAGATGCATTTTGGGGTTTGCAGACCAAGGGCCGTCCAAAGAAAGCAGCCGGGCAGAAACACCGCTCTCCCACATTCCTTCTGGAGAAGTCAGAGCTCCAGGAACAGGTTTGAAGATTATTCGGGAGACGGGGACGCGCAGCAGCACATCAAAGAGCCGGGGCCAACGCCGCGGACGTGCGTGACCGGAGGCACCGGAGGAGCCGAAGAGCCTGCGCCGGGCACCAAGAGCTGGCAGGGACGCAGGACAGGGGCAGCAGAGCCAGTTCCACCAGTCCCTTCCCTCTGTAAAAACGTGTTTTTAAGGTAACCCACGTGCTCCCGCTCCGGCCTGACACACAGACCTCCCCTCGCCTTGGGGGTTTCTGCTGCCCGCACCCATTTTGGGGCTCATTCTAGTCCGTTTTGGTTCCGCCGCAGAGGAGAGCGCGCCTCGTGTTTTAATAAAACAAAATCAGGGGAAAAAAAGGGAGTGTAAAAAGCAGTGGTTTGGGTTGGAAACGCTGCGGTGACGGTGACAAACACAGCTGGGGGGTGGCACTGCTGGAGGAGCCACATCTCCACGGCCTCCCCACCGCGCCGGGGGCTGAGCTGCCGCTTCCCCCCTCTCCCCGGCCGGGACGTTTCACAGGGAGTCCCAAAGCTGACCCTGAAATGTCGTCGGATCCCGAGATAAAAGGTCCCCGCGCGGCTCCTCCTCGCCCCGGGAGCACCTTGTTTGCACAAGAGGCTGCTGGGGGAAGCACCTCCGTGGGGTGGGGGGGTTTTGTAGCCCCCGTGCGCGCTCCAGGCACAAGAAATAAACAGTTGGGAAGGGAGGAAGGGGGTGGTCAGGAGCAGGTTTTCATCATTTCTCTGACACTGGGGTCAGAAGCTGAAGCCTTTGAAGCCTTTTCATGAATTACATCTCAAATCCCTTCGGCCACCTCTCCCCGTGTGTCACAGGGAACACCAGGAGAGGGGAGAGAACTGGGATGGAGAGGAGAGGGGGAGAACTGGGATGGAGAGGAGAGGGGGAGAACTGGGATGGAGAGGAGAGGGGGAGAACTGGGATGGAGAGGAGAGGGGGAGAACTGGGATGGAGAGGAGAGGGGGAGAACTGGGATGGAGAGGAGAGGGGGAGAACTGGGATGGAGAGGAGAGGGGGAGAACTGGGATGGAGAGGAGAGGGGGAGAACTGGGATGGAGAGGAGAGGGGGAGAACTGGGATGGAGAGGAGAGGGGGAGAACTGGGATGGAGAGGAGAGGGGGAGAACTGGGATGGAGAGGAGAGGGGGAGAACTGGGATGGAGAGGAGAGGGGGAGAACTGGGATGGAGAGGAGAGGGGGAGAACTGGGATGGAGAGGAGAGGGGGAGAACTGGGATGGAGAGGAGAGGGGAGAACGTCAGAGCCCAGCCGGTGCGAGGACAAACCGGGGGAGCCATGTTCACCGGAGCCTTCAGCCCCCGAGCTCGGCCGTGGGGCAGCGTGACTGCACCCCCCAATTAGGGACACCCTAATTGTGCTCCCTCCCTTCCCGGCCGGGGGATTAAAAGCTCTCTCTGTCATTAAAGGTGCTTCCCTCTGACGAGAACCCGTGGCGTTTGGAACTTTTTTTTTGGCCAAAGAGCTGCCTTTGCTCTTCCCGACCGCGCTCCCGGGGAGCGGAGGGGAGGGAAGGTGGCCCCTCCAGCTGGACCAGTAGCCAAAGGAGCCAAAAAGGGCGACCTCCCACCCCACAGGGGCACC